AACAACAATCTCTCCGGCTGGGTAAGGGACCTCTCTTTCGAGAGATAATCATCGACACATTCATTCTTGGCTCAATTTTGGAGGAGATACCTGAGTGGTTCATAAACCAAGAACTAAACTAAGGATCAGATTAAATGCTTCTCTTGCCTGCAGCCTCCATTTTTCATTAGCAACTTGGTTTCTATCGAAATCATTCTTGTTATTGCTAGTTTTTTTTCTGAGCCTAAAATATTTTGTGACGACACGATATTTGTTTAAATGCACATCAAGTTACGCTGGCTCTTGAGTCTGCGTGGTTCGCACTTCCGCCGTAGAGGTGTGGCAGGAAGACCACGCCGACAGACTTTCAAGCCTTGTGGGGTTAAATAAAAATCTTCTTTAGCATTGACGTAGTTTATTTTAGCCTTGGCAAACACTGCGACATCATGCGTGCCACCGAATCTGCAATTCGATTCTTAGTTTGGGATGGCGATACATTGTACCACTTCGAAACGATCTATCTCATGTAGTAATTAATCTTCACTTACTGGCTCACTGATACAAATCAAGCACTAAGCCTGACAGCCCCTGTCTTCACTGATATTTCACCTTGCTTCATCTAGGATTTTTGCCCTTTTCGAGAAAACATTATTACCAGTGTTTCTGATGGCCGTGAAGGCCAGTGACTCTCACCTTTCGAATTGTATTTTTGATTAGCAAAATTTATTTTGAGGCCAAAGATTAGTCTAAATTTTACGTGATTTGGTTACAATCTATGGTGATGTATTTATCCGTAACAACATCTGCTGAAATAAGATCAACCTTCAAAATATAATGAGACATTTCAAACCAATTAATAATGAAGAGGCTTTTATAACTGGATTTTTCTAGCAGAGCATGGAGGATCGGGACTCATTCCGTACTAAATAAAAAATTCCCTCAGAACCGAGCTAGAGACGCAAACCCTTCATTACCCGTCACATCAACCAACAACTAAGTTTGATAAACAATATGTACCTCATATAGTCTGTTAAAGCACTAATGATTGAGCTTAAACAGGCAATTGCCTCAGTAAATCTGGGTTTGTTAAATCACCTACCGCCTAAGGAGTAGCACCTTCTTACCTGATCGCGCCACTTGGACAGGAAAACCTTTCTGGACCAGTAACTGGCCAGGGTGAATTCCAGCATTGCCGAAATGACGAAGATGAGGCAGGCTATCAACCAGATATCGATGGCTTTTATGTAAGACACCCTTGGAAGTGTATTATTCAAGCTGGCAATCTAAAGTAGAAGAGATGCACAAGAAAGGCAGTAATTAGGGTATATAGAAGTACCTTTCCCACCCCTTTTTAATACATCCTTGTGACCCCTAGTTTCCTCCTGATGATGATGACGGCCAAATCCACTTTTTAGGTGTAAATTACTTTTTCACAGGCCATTGATTTCAGCGAGGATCAACCTGGACATTTGGCGAATCGTCCAGCTCTGCAATTCAGCCCGATGAAATCCACTAGCCACATTCGCAACTAAGTGAAATTAGTTTCATCATTCCGATGGCTCAGCAAAAAGTAGAACTTAGGGCAAATTAGAAGAATAAGTGTCAACTGTAGTCAAATTTGACATTCCTTAATTTTTAGCTAGACGTCCCCCAAGGGTGTAAAATAAAATCGACTAATCAAATCCTTGCTTAAGTCTGTTAAGTCTACGTAAAGACACCTCTCGAATTCATCATTTCCACGCCAAATATAAGTGGCTTGGAAGTTTTACCTTTCGCTTAATGGGGACCACTTAATCCTTCAATAATGTCAGTTAAAACAACAGATCCCCCGATTGGGTTATGGATGCTTCAAAGTTACGAAAAATCCTGATGATGTGGTTCTTTAAGGAAGATTTCCTGACAAAGTGCTTTACGAATTGGGGGCGGGAATGTGGCAACAGACAAATCATTCAAGTTGGTCTTTTCAAGCCGTTAAGGCATGATAAACGGTTGGGGAAGGATCGAACTTTTGAAGGAAGGAACCACGCTCCTACTTAATGTGTACGTGAGGGTGTCTGTGGTCCACATTGCAGATAGTACTAAAAGGTTTCCTTCGCTTTCACTTTGCTATAAATTTAAGCAAAACAGTCTTAAAAGCTTCTGACGCGCAGAACGTTTGCTAAATTTCCTTAAAAAGCTTCCTCTTTTCCCCTACCAACGATCTGATTAACCGAGTGCAACTGCAATCAAAGGGAAGGAGGCGCGACTTACCTTGGTGAGAAGAGATATGAGGGTGAGTAGACCCAATGTGACTCGAGCCGGAATTGCCTCGGGGCTCACCCAAAAGGTGAGCCAGGAGACAATGACTATGAGGAAGGCGGGCACGTAAGTTCCAACTAGGTATGATCCGACTTGTCGCTTCAGCTGAAATCGCCCTAGTAGGCAGGTGTACGTTCCTGTGCTTGTGGTTTGGGGTTCTGTACAATCCTAAAAGGCAGGTAAATGCAACGCTTGAATGACTTTCCTCTATAATAAAGTCTTTAGAACATGAAGGCATCAGGATTTACCCTCAAGGTTCAAGACGTATTTAGAGTTTGATTGACTCTAACTTGAAATTAAAAAGTTAGAACAGTCTTAACTGGTTGTGGGACAGTTCAAAGTGGAAACACTTCAAGCAGACTACACATTTTCGCTCACTAAACCAGACAAACATTAATCCTCATCTACGCAAATGATGCACAGGGAAGATTTGGATTTGGCGTTTTAATTGGCACCTAAATGTGTCGAATTTTCCTCCTAAATTCTAAACAGAAGGCCGGAGTTTGCAATTAATTTTAATGCCAACTGTTCGACAAATAAAAAATTTCAATGCTAAAGGTATCTTTCATCATCAAATGACTCTGTTTACTTTTTGTAAAAAGCAAAGAAAAACTATTCTTTCTTGTCAATCAATGTAGCCGAAAATTCCTCATAAACTGCGTGTCGATTTAGAAAATGCCCACACAGGCATGTAAAAGACCTTCCATTCAATTTCCTTGACAAAGTGCGGTGACAATCACGCCTTATTCAGTTGTGGCCTCTTTGGCCCACTACTCGATGAGATATTCAACCACCCGCTTCCACCCACTCGCAATTTTGAACAACCTTCTGTTGGTGATTTGCATACACTGAGCAGAAGCAGAAATTCTGTGTATGATAAAGCAGGGAAAGATGATGATTGGGGTGAAGAAAGGATACCATCAATAATAATAACGACGGTGAAGGGGTTGTCAGATAGGGAGCACAAAAACAATAAGGTCACGCTCCGTTGCTGTACCTGCGAACATTCGCCAAAACAATAGTGTCAATTTTCAGCTACGAGGATTCCTGAACCAAAGCCTTTCGACAGTTGACAATTAGTGATTAGTCAGATTTCTTGTCACAAGTTTTTTAATTTTATCAAAAAGCAGGAATTATAGTAAGTGACTTTTCTAATCTACTCCACAGTTAACATTTCGACACATCTGGAGGTGTCCAACTCATGCCAGTGAATGACAAAAAGTGGACGTGACGATAATAAAATGATTGTAAAAAGGTAACGGTAGCTACTGCGACGGCCAAACATGGGCAATAAAAAGTTGACGGCTGGAATGTCGCCCTGCTTCACTTCCATGCTTGGCGTGAAATTCGAGTCCACTCATTAGGGGGCCATCGTCATCGCCATCACAACAATTCAAACAATGCATTGCTGTTTAGTTACAAAAAATACAAGAAAATATAATGCAGAAGCAGTTCCGCATAGAGGGGTCCAAAGCAAATAAAATCACTTTTTACATGATGTCAGAAACTTTTTTCTCCGCCTCATTAAGGCGAATTTAACCAATTGTCGGCACACATCAAAATAAGAAATTAATTTAGTAAATTCACACTATCAATTTCCTTTATTTTACTCCGAAAAAGGGGGGTACTTTATTGTTTAAATTAATTTAATGCCCCAGACGAATTTTTAATGCCAGCAGAACAATCACTTTACTTCAAAATAAACATTTCAACGTCTAACTTTTTTTTCAAAAAATCTGAAAAAGTTACGTAAATTACGCTATTGCGAATATTTAAGGCTGAAATGTTGACTATCATGCAAAATAAAGGCTGGACTAGCAGACAGCCATGCAAGGTGGAGCGTTTTTTAAAAAGGACTAGTAAAAAGGGGCACTTGGAGCTTCACCTCAGTAATGGTTGAAGACGGCGTATTAAACTCCGAAATTAGCATATCATCAGCAAATTTGAGTGCGTTGTCTCCATCCCAGATGAATTTCAACTGGTCAATTGTGTAGCCATAGCTACCGATATCCATGTCGCAGTCCTGATGGTCCATGGGAAAGTTGCGTAGATGCATTTCACAGGCCAATTTCATGGTGATCTTCTGACTGTAATAAACACTTCCGTCAGGACTCACCCGAATCATGTGATTGGGTACAGTCATGCGGTAGAGGAAGCCCTCCTTTCCATTGCGAAAGAAGAGATCCGGCAACCAAATCTCATTGCGTTTATGCGTGAGCAGAATGTCCCCGGAGATAGCTTGGTACTCCAACAGATTTTGCCACCGTAAGCGTGGATCTTTCCATGTTTGAACCAGCATCATGTCTGCGGTGTACTGCATGTTGATGACATCTACACTAGTGATTGCGAGGATCTTAATAGAGACCCGTACTCGTGTGGGTTCATGTGTGCCCTCGGTGGGACGTTCATAGCGTCGGTAGTGGCGCATGAGGTGTTTGATGAGGTTCTGCTTTAACACAGGATAGGCTGGCTCGCCACCTCCAATGGCAACTTGCGGTAGTACAGGAAAATTTATCAGGCGGTCAAAGTTGAACAAAGGTTGTCGTGACAGTTCTTGAGGCCTCTCAGCGGCGGCGTGGAGACACGACGTGAGCAGAGGAAGGATGAGCAATGTCAGTGGACCTTGGGATGAGAGGCGAATGGACATTGCTTTGATCCGCTGCGATCTCCGCGCCGCGTATGCATTGAGCTCACAACACCGGACGACTGTGTGTGTATGTGTGTGTGTGCGTGCGCGGAGAAGTGAGACAAATGATGCACTTAAACTACTGCACGGGTCGTCTCGTCATGTCTCTCTCGCTGGCTCGCATGCTCGTCAGCGCGCACTCTCACTTCCCCTCGCCTCTCACGCCGAGAAGCAGTGCTCTAGCCTATCCAGAATGTCGGCCAGTGACCTTCACAGTTTTAACCAATCCAGACCTTGCAGATGAGAACATTTAAGTGATTGGGACTGGAGGAGGGAATATGGCATTACATGTAAACGAGGTCAAACGACGTGTATTTAGGGAAGAATGGGTTCACTTGCTAGGTATCATTCCGTCTCATTTACGGGATCATTAAAGCATACGCAACTTGTCGTAAGAAGCTGCATCTATGTTCGGCTAGAACCTTGATAAGCAAAGTTATATTTAATCTTGTTGTCGTATTTTAAGGTAAACTTGGCTCTCAGTGTTTCCGACAAAGCAATTACAGATGATCTTGTCATTAACACAATAAAATTAGAATGAGTTTCCTAACACTTTTAACTACTAGAATCTCAGAGGAGATTTGATTACCACAGTGTCGATCTTTTGTTATTCTAGCATTACCCCATCATTTGCATCTATGAGCGACTGATTCAGCTGCAGCTGAAAAAAAGAAAAAAAAGGATTAGTTTTTTAAAAAATGGGTGATCATAGATTCGGTTAATCTGCTTGCCACACAATTTTGTGCAACAGGTTAGCGTAAACTGTTGTTTGTTTGCTTGATTGTCAGTTCTGGTAAAGAGGCTAATTGGGGGCTCCTTTATTGTTGTATGGGTAGGCCTTTGGATTTAACCAATAGCCTTGGGCTCTACTGGATGTCGGAATGTATCGATTCTGTCGAGGTATTGTGACTTCTTTTGTCCACGAGGGAGCCTCGAGGGTGCTGAATTAGTGGTGAACCCGATTAAAAGGGACGACTACTTTATTTACTTCTTCTGACTGATAAACGACAGTGCGATGGAAGAATTGCGTAAGCTGCGGATTGGAGAATCAGTGGCGATCCTTAATAGAACGACTGAAATTGACGTCTACCTGCCACAACTATCCCAGTCCCCCATTCTTCAGGAATGCTATTGACAACTGGAGCGGCACTAATTGTTACGGAGCTGTCTACCGTTCATGTATGAAGACATCAATAATGCAAACATGCGATACCTCCTCCACTTTTCTATTTGGCTGGCTAGAATCCAGATAGTTTGTCTGTGCAGCTCTGAAGTGTAAACAAAGCAGCAGGGAGGAATGGACGCGAAACCCTAAACTCACGGAAGCCAGTGTGCCTACGACTAGCTATGGACACACGTGATTACCGGCACGACCCCTGTTCCGTAATTCATTTCCCATACAGGACGAAACTTTAGGTCCAATCGAATCGCCAAGAGGGATCATCGGCATTGCTATCAAGTATGGCCTCAGTTGCCTGGATCTCCGATGGCAGGCACGGTTGCTTCGTGGGTGTTTCGCACAGCACCAATTACCTTGCGATAGCTGATGCGGGAGGTTGACCATGAGGAGCGCTGGGGACCGCACTTAAAGAGGAGGGGACCTACATAATACCTTGGCTACTTGTTTATCTCTCGGTTTTGGTAAAGGGCTACTTAGCTGCTTCGCTATGGCCTTTGGGCCATCCCAGCATTCCCAATTCCTTCTGAAAATTTAAGCATAAATTCCATTCGAGCATTATATCTTCTTTCATTCTCAGGGAAGACCAAAGGGTGCTACACAAGTCACCTTTTAGAGACACCGAATTCAAACAAGATAATCGGAGCATCACACATGTATGCGATTAACAGTAAAGCGCAATTTGATACACTTTACACTTCTTTAATGTACTTGCGAGACCAAGCCTATAAATGTACAGAAGTCGGTTTATCTAACACCACCATTACAACGATCGCTACAGCAACATTTCAATGACACCAGCTTGGATGAACATTTTTGGTAAAAAAAGTCTTTGTATCAAATGAAGAATTGCCGAGTGATGTAACTTTTTAGGTAATTACAGGGAAAATTTTTATAAATTTTTGGCATTGGAAGAATTTTCTTCACTATTTCAGGTGCGGTTTGGACAAATTGAGTAATTCAGCGATATGTCTTTGAAACAAAATTTTATGTGAGTTCATTTAACACACCCAATGTCTCAAGTGGTGCTGCTTAGGCTCCCTAATCTCACGGGCCTTCGGTATGCTCGAGGTAAAGCCTCCTCTAGGTGTTATAGCAGTGAGAACGCATATTTAACGCCTTACACAGGAATGCCATTTTCATTAAGGCTTTAGGAAAGATGCTCGTCCAAGTGGTTCAACCAGTTACAGGACGTAAAGGACCCTAAATGCGGGGAAATGGTTGGATGGGAGAATCAGTGAAGACGCTAAAGGAAGGCCTGTTAAAATTGCATTAACAATTGGGAAATAAACCAATTTCAAGGTCTACATCATAACAAGCGCCGAAGTTCGGGTCTGCATTGTGCAAAATTAAATCGCCCTGGAAAGCATCTTCAAAATCCAAATACATCATATTATCTTCGCGTTTCCGTAGTCATTTATGTGGGGAATAAAAGCTGGATGCAGCTTCAAGAATTATATTTACATTTGGAGTTCCAGTAAGGCGATTCAATTTAGACTGAAAAATTATTCATTTACTGTAAAATATCATCTTATTTAGATCAGCGGAATACAAGTGAATCTTTCAAGTAAGGCTTAAAAACGGGATGCAAGGTGTGGATGTATTGAATTCCGCGTAAATTAAAAATACAATAGAGTTCGGAAGTCTTTGAGCTTTGATGATTTTACTTCAAAGGAGGGATATTAGGAGAGAATATAACTTAGAAAGTAATGGTGAAAGAAGCAGATTAAACATTCGCTTCAATGGACCATAAATACAAATTCATCCCGCATCCATCCTGTATCCATCCTGTATCCATCCATCCATCCATCCATCCATCCATCCATCCATCCATCCATCCATCCATCCATCCATCCATCCATCCATCCATCCATCCATCCATCCATCCATCCATCCATCCATCCATCCATCCAT